AGATTCTTCAAGTATTATATTATTGGACTCCTCAAATCTGTATCTGCTAAACTATTAATGGTCAATACTTCAAAAATTTATTTGTTTACATATCCCAAACTTGAGTTTTCTAAATCTGATGTAGATAGTTTGGTAGCCAAGACTACCAAACTTTTATTTTCTCTTGATTTTGCATTACAATCCCTTGCGAAATGACCAAAAATATGACAATTATAACACTTCACATTACTCTTGTCAATCTTTTTGGTGTAGTTTCTTTGACCACTACCTTTGGAGGTGCTCTCACCTCTTTGCCCTATGAAATCATTCAAATTTTGTGGATCTTTTCCAACAAAATTCTGGAAATTTGTCTTCCCTTTCGAAGAACATTTTCCTTTCAATCTTTTACTCTTCTCATTGAACAGTGCTTGCAACGCAATCTTCGCTTTAGCTTTGTCATTTCCCTTTTCATCCATCCTTTGTTCATGAGCCTCAAGTGAGCTTTAAACCTCCTCATTTCTTAACTTCAGAAGGTCATTTGATTCTTCGATTGCAACCAAAATATTGTCGAATCTTGATGTTAAAGAACGCAAGATCTTTGATACAATGTTCTGCTCCAAAACAATTTCTCCGTAAGATTTTATTTAATTCAACAATCATGTAATACGCGTTACGTAGTCGTTGATTGACTATTTATCTTCCATTTGCACTAATTCAAAATGTCGCTTGTGAGTTTGTAACCTCGCCACCTTTTCTTTATTAGCCCCTTCATAAGCTTTCTTCAAGATCTCCCATGCTTGATTCACCGAATCGCATTCGCCAACTTTTTCGAAATTGTCATTGTCGACATAAGAATGAATCAAGAAAAGTGTCTTGTATTCTTTCTTCTTCTCTTCCTTGAATGCAGCCTTCTGAGAATCTGTAGCTTTTTCCTCAAGTGGTATAGCACCATTGTTAACCACCTCAAGAATGTCTTGATACCCAAACAAAACTTTCATTTGTTTGCACCACTTATCATAGTTCTTTGAATCAAGGGTTAGAATATTGGTAGGGACTCGATCATTGGAAACAATAGTCATCTTTGAAGGATTAATGGATCAGAATCAGGCTCTAGATGCCAAATGTTAGAGCAAGCACAAAGCTTGAGTGATGAATTAATGGAGAAAAGTGGTTAATTGGAGAAGATGGAGAGAAATTGGAGATATTGAGAGAGAGAGAGAGAGAGTAATTGAGTAAAATTGAGGAGAAATGGTAAAAATGGCATTAACAAAACAATATCACATGAAAGAGTATTTATAGGATACAAACATTACAAATTGGAACTAAAACAAGCCCAAAAAACAACTAAAAATTACAAAACACAGGACGGAAATCGATTTCCCAAAACGGGGTAATCGATTTCCCCAATTAAAAACAGAAAAACAGAAAGCAAGAAAGTTGTGGAAATCGATTTCCACATTCCGGGAAATTGATTTCCTCTTTGAAAGATTGTTTTTCCATATTTTCAAAAGTGTTTTTTTTAATAAGTTATTTTCAGCGAAATGATCCTAGAAACTTCCACAATGTATTTGAATTATTAAGGACTTCTAATATATTTGAGTTTTGAATTTGAATTTAAAATTCTTATTAGTGTAGAAATGGCGAGTAAAAAGGGTGATTCTCTTAAATCTATTAGTGTAGCTCTCATATGTAAGGCTATATAAGTTGGTCTAATACTAGGAATAAAATCTGTGGTTGTGTTTTTGTGATTATTCACTGGCCATTGAGGTTTATTGTGAACTTGCATTGATGGAGTTTTCATGAATCACATGTATTAGTTTGTGACTTCTTTTATCTTGGGAGTCATCACTACTAAAAATATGACATTTGAGAAAAACTCTTTACATCAGGTATAAAAATATATGATGTGAAATGTACAGTCCTAAAAAAATAAAAACATGGTGCCAGTTTTGTAAATAAATGAATTACACGTTACATCGATTAATACACCAACCTATATAATAAACTGGCTGTTACATCGGGCCAATTTTTCAACCGATATAAAAAGTCAAGTTCTAAAAAAAATAAAACCACGGTGGCAGTTTTATAAATAAGTGAATTATACGTTACATGGATTAATACACCAACCGATGTAAAAATAAAAATATAATTAAAAAATCAATTAAATGTATAAAAGAGGAATGTATCATTCAGTGTTAGGGTTCACAAAAGATCCTTGGCATTTCATGTGAAATCAACCTCTTCTTCCTCTCAAAACAGACTCAGCGGCGACTCCTCCTTCTCTAGCTCGCGATTCCATCGTCGTACCCACAGCATGCGCCTTCAAACTCCTTGGATTTCCTTCTTCTATGTTCTCACCTTCATCTCCGTCCGTCACCCCATAGCATCGTTGACGTGCTTCTTCTCTATTCGTGATTTCGTCTCAAACGTGCCAAGATTCTTCTCCTTTTCTTATTTCCCTTATGTTTTCATTTTTGGTATTTGCGTGTGGTTGTTAATGCGGATCTGTTGTAATGTTGTGATATGTTGTTGTTAAAGGCTGTGTTGTTGTCATGTTAAACGTTACAAGGTGAAATGAATAATTTGAGAAGACAAAGATCTGAAGCAAGTTGATGTAGGAGCGGTTATGCAGAGAGAGGTTGAGAAGTTTTTGAGGTGAGTTCTCTGAAGAATGAACCGTGTTTCTCTCTTTCTGAGTTTCTTTTCTGCCAGTTGTTTTTGTTTCTGAATGTGTAGATCTGGAATTGTGTATATTTGTGTATGTGAATGGTTTTATTGAAGTATGTATATATTATTGTCCTATTTTTTTCTCTTGCTTGTTCCTATATATTTGCTTTAATTTTCGTTCCTCTTTTAATGATTTAGGTATCCTGGACCTGGCCCTAAACTTTCCAGGCTATCAACGATGAAAATTCACCGATGTTCTTAGAAATATTCTTAAAGTCATTATCTATTCTATATGGGTTATCATGTTGTATATATTATGCCTAGGAAAAACAGTGAACTGAAAAACAATTTGAGAAATATGAATTAATCGTTCAATAGAATCCATCTTATGAAGAGTATCACAATATAGTGTTTTTATAAAGGTTTTGATACTCATCTTGTTTAAGTGGTGTTCCTACTCCTTGCTTTAGTTTTTTCAAATACGTTGAATCATGTTTTTGGTGACTTTGTTTTAGACAATTTGAATGTTAAACCTGACAAAGATTTAAAGATTTTGCAAGACATGTTTTACAAGAGGTATTCTATAACCATATGCACTTTCTCTGTTTGTGTAACTGGTCTTTTAACAAGATTTTGCTTGTGTTGAACTAATCTTTTTCCTATACTTGCACTAGTTGTCATCCAAATTGAAATATTTTGCATGTAACTTCAGCTAAATAGGGGTTGGCTTAGCAGTTGTGAAGACTCAAATGGTATGAATGCTGGAATAGAAGAGTTGGAATAGTTGGAAGATGGAACACATCTGGTATTTTCTTTCTATATTATTTTCATTTAAAAATTTCTTTCTTTTGTGAATATTATTTAGTTGCTATGTAGGTGAATTTAGGTATGATTATGATGTTAGACTAATCTATTTCAAACATTAATATTATTGAATAACAATATTGTAGAGATTGGCGTTGTTCTCCATCAACCACTGCTCGCCGTTGCCGCTAAACTCATCATGGTATCTATTAGACAGATTGAAGCTAATCTCTATTCAAGTTATATTCTTAGAGCTTTTAGATAAAGTAATACTCTCATTACAAAAAAAAGTTTATTTGCCACGTGAAAATCACGAGGCAAACATCAAAATCACGTGGCAAAATAAAAATAGCGACGTGGAGACATATGTCGCTGGAGAGCCAGTGGCAAGCCAGTAGCGACGTGATTCCCATGTCACAAAGTTGTGACGTGGTATTTACGTTGCAAAAGCTTTGTCTTAGGGAATATACAATCTGACATACAGCAGCTTTAGTTGCGACGTGAGAATCATTTCACTAATTTGTGACATGATTCCCACGTCGCTACAGGTGACGTTTTTATTTTTTAAAAAATTGTTTAATAATTATTTTTTATATTAATTAATTTATGTAATAAAATTTAAATAATAAAATTTATGTAATAAAATTTAAATAATATAATTTATATAATAAAATTTATATAATAAAATTTATATAATAAAATTTAAATAATAAAATTTATATAATAAAATTTATATATTAAAATTATTAGAATAATAGTATTTTATTATATATTCGAATAATAGAATTTTATAAAATAAAGTCATATAATAAAATGTTATATAATTTAATAATTTAAAATGATAAAAATAAATATCTTACATAAATGCAAATTTAAAAACGAAATAAATAAAATGTTTTCACGGGGCATCTTCACCCGGATAATTATCAAGATCAAAATCATCAATTCCGTCATCATTCCGTCATCATCCGGATGTGTATCAGGAACATTTTGATTTCCACCGCCTTGCATAAACCGTCTCATCTGCTCCTCCATATCAGATTGCCTCCATATCAGATTGCCTCTTCCGCATGATCTCTAACTGCTACTCCTGCTCTTGCCTCCAAGTTGGTCCTGTATCAGATTCGATTGACGTGACCCTCCCTCTCCATCTCTAAGTCGTTGAAACAGATTACGATCACCAACTCTCAAGCCGGCGGCCAAATTTCCTCCCGCAAAAAAGCAACCATTAAGCCCTTTTCCATTAACAACCTCATTCCAAATATAGAAATCAACATCACCATTAAGCGGCTCCCCTTCTGCTGGCCTATATTGAGGATTGTGTTCCAGAAAACGTGAAAACAATGTCTGATAATCATCCTACACATACATTAAATAATAAAATTAAAAAAAAAATTACATATATATATATATTAAATTTATGCTAAATTAAAACATTTATATATTAAATTATACTAAATTCAAATATATTAAAAATTTGTCACGTGATTTTCACAAATCAACTTATGAATTGCCAGGTGATTTTCACGTGGCAATGTATCAGTTGCCACATGAAAATCAGTCATGTGGCAATTTATCAGTTGCCACATGATAATCACGCCACAACTTATAGATTGTCACGTGAAAATAACGTCACTATTTTTGTTATTAACTTAAAAAAAAAACATAAATTAAATTACTTACAAAAGCTCTATTTGTGCGCTCGTCGACAAAACCTCCCGATTTCTTTGTACGAGTCCTCGTAATCAACTCAATGATCAATGGTGATCTCCCCATCTCCTTAGTCTAAACAATAAAGTTAAAAATAATTAGTAAAAAATATTATGAATAAAAATATATATAACTTAAAAAATTAGTAATATTTACCATCCGCCGGACATGCTCTGCAGTGCTAATACTTCCAACAGTATTGACACACCCCCTTTTCGGATGCCCTTATCTTCTTAAAATTTTCGGATTTGGCCTTGAATTCTGGCGAACCCCAATATGTACGAAGTTCGCCAAAAACCTCTACGCCTATCCAGTTAGGACGGATACCATGCAGCTCATAATTCTCCCTAACCCGCCGCATTATATCAAAAAATCTTCTAGAAGTTCTGCTATAATAGATTTTTTCCATAATTTTCTCATTCAACGGATCCCACACACATTTTTCCTGCAATGTTGTATGACATTAAAATAAAAAGTTAAGTAATTATCATTAAAATGTGACTTAAATAACAATACTAAAAAAATATATTAAATTTACAACTTAAATAAATAACAATACCTTAAATTTTTTAAACCATTCTTCTTTATTTGTAACCTCGCCAAAGTTCCTCCAAAATGATTTATATACATCTGCTGGATTATATAATTAATAACCTTGGCAGCAGTCCGACTCGGCGCGAAACTAAACAACAAGATTTTGAATAAACAATATTAATTATAAATTTATACAAAATATTAAAATGAATATGTATTTAAATAAAAGTTTATATAAGAAACTTACTTGCTTCCTTCGGGCCAAATCCAAAACCTCCCGTCAATGACATGAATCTCACTCGGATCATCTCTCTCACGAAGATCAGCTCCATCTATATCATCAGCTACCACATCTGCATCACCGTCAGCCTGTGTAGGACGTGGGGTGCTGGATCCTGCAGCCTGTGTGGGATGTGGGGTGCGTGATCCTCCGGTCCGTCTAGGACGTGGGGCGCGGGTTCCTCCAGCCTGTGTGGGACGGGGATTGGGGGATCGTCCAGCCTGTGTCGGACATGGACTGCTGGGTCCTCCAATGTGTGTGGAGTGTGGGGTGCTGGACCCTCCCAGTTTTCCAAGACGGGGGACCCACACAAATGTCTTCATCCTTCCAGCAGGCGTGTCCAGCACCCCACGTTTTTATTACATAAATTAATTAATATAAAAAATAATTACTAAACAATTTTTTAAAAAATAAAAACGTCACCTGTAGCGACGTGGGAATCATGTCACAAATTAGTGAAATGATTCTCACGTCGCAACTAAAGCTGCTGTATGTCAGATTGTATATTCCCTAAGACAAAGCTTTTGCGACGTGAATACCACGTCACAACTTTGTGACATGGGAATCACGTCGCTACTGGCTTGCCACTGGCTCCCCAGCGACATATGTCTCCACGTCGCTATTTTTGTTTTGCCACGTGATTTTGATGTTTGCCACGTGATTTTCACGTGGCAAATAAGTTTCTTTTTTGTAGTGTATGTTAGACAATTAGTTACCAAAAAAGTTACACGGAATCCGCTAAAAATTAGTCAATTTTTTTAAAAAAATTATCGATCTTTTACATCGAACCAAACAATTAACCGATGTAAAAAATAGATTTTTTACATCGGACTAATAAGGCAACCGATGTAAAAATTTTTGATTTTTTTTAAAAAAATTATACTTTTTTCACATCAGACTTAACAGGCAACCGATGTGGTAGGTATATTTTTCACATCGGGTTGTTGCCCGATAAAAATATCTTTGATTTACTACATCGCCTGATTTTACATCGGACTCAGATCTGATGTAAAATTTACTTTTCACCTGATGTAAAAAGTCTTTACCTGATATAAAAAGTCTTTCATGCACTTGTGCATGGGCTTGAGACTCAATGTAAATTTGTTTACCTCTTTTAGAGACGGGTTCACATAGAAGTTACACATTGAATATTCAACAATAAAGATTAGGAGATTTTTTTTCACCTGGCTGGCTTCTTGCAGACTCTTGTCGAAAAATTCAAAATATTTCTAAATTTCAGATGTGCATATCCAAACGCACTCAATATATATATATATATATATATATATATATATATATATATATATATATATATATATATATATATATATATATATATATATATATATATATATATATATATATATATATATATATATATATATATATATATATATATATATATATCCGAAATATTTCAACAATTGAAATCAATGTGTATTAATTCTATTAATTTTATTACCATATTAATTATTTACATAAGTTTTATATATTTTTAGTGCGTTAAATATTATTTAGTTACATAAAAATATTTAGTTTGGAAAAATTATTCATGAGAATAATTCTTCAAACCGTAGAACAACTCCCCTAAGACACAAATTTAATATTTCACATCTAGTTAAGTTATATTTTATTTCTTTGCCCTTTTATTTCTTTTTCATTAAAATTTTATGACTATGTTAGTTTATGTTAATGATATAATAACAATACAAGAGAGAATTTAAGTAGAAACCTTATGTTTATAAATTAAAAGGTCAATATCCCAAGGGCTCCCAAGCTATTAATAGGTCTATTAATTAAATATTTTTATATAGTAAAATAATTTTTTTTTTTATTTCTAAAATAAAATAAAAGTAAAATTTGGATATTGTGTTATTTCAAATATGTATATCGGAAAACTTTTAAAAATAAAATATTAGATTATTTTGGATATGTATATCTAAAATATCTCAATAAAAATAGAATATTAAATACGTTCGGATATGCACATCTAATTGAAATTTTTGAATTTTTAAAAATTTAATTCAATATAATTAAGTGAAAAAAGAAATTTTTTAAAAATTAATATTTACGTTACTCTTTCACACTATACTTATTGTAATATTGAGTATTTGGCTGCTACGGTAAAGAACATGGGTTTTAGGCCTATATATTATCTTTTAAAATTTATAATAATTAATTTTTAAATATATTTCTGTAAAAATATTAATTAAAATTAGCTGGAGCTGCTTCCAAACAAATGACATACTGGTAAAAGAGGAAGAGTGGAGGTGAACTCTTTATTTATACTAAGAATTGGGAGATGGTTATATCTGAAGCAAAACAATACCTCAGAGAAGCTCTCCTTTGGCCCTTCAGGCAATGAGGAGGCTTTAGCTCAGAAATTTACTAGCAAGGAATGAAGAAAAATAACCCTCTCAAAGAGTTTCCATCAAATCTCCCTGCAGCCAAGCTTGCATCTGGTGATATTGATGTGACAATGAATCTTGACGATCCTTTAAATCAGGACTCAAGGTTGTTCATTCTTGCAGGGGTTAACGGATCAGCTCTCCAATTTACAAGGTATTTTGTAGATAGCAACAATTCTAGCTAATTTTTCTTATAGCAATTCACAAATCATCATTTGCATTTAATTCCATCTTATAACTTGGTCCATTTGTCCATCTTTCTCTTTAGTTTAGTTTTATGAGAAATAGTTAAATGTAAAGTTGTAGTACTCTTTTTTTTCAAATAGCATTCTTTTAAGTAAATTATCATAGCATTGTATATAGCAAAATATTGATTAATGGTCATAAATGCTTTTTTCAAGCGGTCTATTCACCCTTAGGAATTGGAAACATTATTTTTTAATGATTTTATAAGCATTTCTAATAAAGTATCTATAGACTAAAAGACAAATACTCTCGTTTAAAATTGTCTGGGAATGGGCTCAACATGATAGCTCTTATAATAGAGTTTGACATGCAATAAAGAACAATTGAAGTCTCACATCGAATATTCAACGATAAAATTGTTGGTTAATTTCAAATCTGTATTGGGTAATGCAAAAGACAGATTCTCTTTGGACAGTAGGAAGTTTATTCCTTTGAGACCTAGAAATAGTTAATGCTGTAACATTTAATATTCAATCTTGTGATCTCTATATAAATCACTTTGTACTCATATTAAAATTTAGTTGGACAATTTTATAAAGAAAGCAAGTTTAAAGTCCACTCCTATTTCTCTTCAAATTGGTATCAGAGCGCATGGCAAATATGATGAGTCAAATGCCACTGCCACGACTATCAAAGTCGAATTATGAGAACTGGAGTATCCAGATGAAAGCGCTTCTGGGATCGTTAGATGTATGGGAAGTAACTAACAATGGGTTTGAAGAACCATCAGATACGATGGCAATCACAACTACTCAGAACAAGGCGTTGAAAGAAACGCGAGCAAAGGATAAAATAGCATTGTACATGCTGTTCAGAGTAGTCGACAAATCAGTTTTCGAAAAGATTGTTAGTTCGACTACGTCAAAGAAAGCGTGTGACACGCTAGAAAAGGCTTTCAAAGGAGCAGATAGAGTCAAGTAAGTTCGCTTACAAACTCTTCGAAGAGAAATGGAGAGAATGAAGATGAAGGAGACAGAGTCTGTGTCGGACTACATCACTCGTGTGCAGACAGTGGCAAATCAACTAAATTGAAATGAAGAAGCAATGACTGATGCTCGTATTATCGAAAAGATTATGAGATCTTTGACAAATAAGTTAAAAAACATAGTATACGCAATAGAAGAGGCGAAGGATCTTTCGACAATCACTGCCGAAGAAGTCGCTGGTTCACTTGAGGCACATGAACAACGCAAAATAAAGAAGAAGGAGGAGACACTTGAGGATGCAGAACCCAACAGAGACGAAAAGGCACTTTTCTCTCAAAATTGGCGTGAGGGAGGACATGGCTGTGGAGGACGTAATGGTGGTCGAAGTTACTAAAATAACAACTTCGACAGAGGACAGTCAAGCCAACAAAACTAGCATGGAAGAGGACGTGGCCAGAGAGGTGGTAGGTCGAATTACAAGAATATCGAATGTTACAAATGTAACAAACCGGGGCACTATGCGAAAGATTTCAACTCCTACATTTCCTACAATTGTGGTAAAATGGGACATGTTGCAAAAGATTGTCGACTCAGAAGAAAGATAGAAGAAACAACAAATCTTGCCCTAGAAATAGAATCAA